CCCCTCTGCTCAAGAGAAATTGAGTCAAGCACAAACATGAGAGTGTAAGAACGAGCCTGCAGGACAGGGCCAGCTTGCTAACTGAGTGGGAAGTTCTAACTGCAGGAGCGTCAGAAGTTCTAACTGTAGGATGGAAATGACAGATCTCCAATCAATAACATTTTGCACAAGGAGGCTTCTGGATTCAAATTTATACTAGTACAGTAAAAAAAACTTCTCTAAATTTCTAAAGCTCAGTATAAGATTAAAAAAAGTGGATTCGTTTTCTTAGTTGAAACTGGTGGTCTGACCTTAGGATTCCTAACAAAATCTGCATTTTTAGGAGACTCTACTCCACTGTTCTTCCTGTAAGAAATACTTTAAAAAAATGCTTTCAGACAATGTCTGCAGTGTTTCCAGCTTGCCAGATACCTTCTTAGTGTTTTTCAAGTGCTGATGTAAGTTCAGAGCCAGCCGATCCCACCATCTCCCTCTGCTGTCAGTACAATACACATCCTGGGCCAGGAGGCTCTGCAGCTGCTGCACTGCTTCCTGCAGACATGGGATTGCACCTTTATTAACTGGTTACACAACCAAGTTCACGTTAGCTTGTCACTTTCCCTTCTAATTAATGAATAGTACAGAAACTTTGCCCTGGACAATCCAAACCTACTTTTTACTCCACTACTCAATATACCCATTTCAGATCCATATGTGTATCTTAAAAACTTTAGAATAGAGATATTTTTATGTAAACTTTAAGGTTAACTGCAAAAAGACAGCATTTTTATCCTTATTGTATATGAAAAATATCTTAAGTATTACTTGTTGCTTTGTTGCAGAAGTGAAGTCTTTTTCTGAATAATCTGATTTACTTTAACATGTAAGTCAGAGGCCTTTGGAGATGTTAATTCCCTAAGGAAGGGGCAGAGATTTCTAGAAGAATTCTCTTTCAAGATTTTTCTTATTTAAAAGCAATAGCCAAATCTAGTGAAACACAGGTATCTTTAAATAATTAAACAAGCATATCTCAGCAATAGTTTTATGGTGCATTACATATGGCAAATCTTCAAAGCATAAGCAGAAATCAAAACAATTTAAAACTTTCTAAGGCAGCACAAAAAGGGGACACTTTTCCCTAAAAAGTAACTTGTTACTGGAACTGTAACAAGCCTTGGCAAATATTACCACCATTTTCCAGCCACATCAGAAATGTAAACTGATGTACAAAAATTAAGCACATATTTCTATTCACCTCACCACTTTACCTTATACTTGTGAAGTCTCTGCAGAATTTCAACTCCTTGAGAAAGGATTCTCGTGTACACCCAGCCAACTGTGAAACGCCGCAGGTAATCAGGTAAAGTTCTGTGATAGCTGAAAAATATGAGCAGTTCAGATCAATTGAATGATGTCAGTTTTACTAAGAATGTTCATACCTAAAGCTTTTACCAAACTAAATGCTTATATATCCAAATTGATCTGAAATGAGTATCCCAGCTGCAAAGTCAACAACCCAAAGGTAAGGCAATAGTTTGGCTTAGGGAGCAGGCGCAAGCTGCACTTGTGCACAGCATATTTTAATGCAACACCAGTAGAATTATCAGTTAATCAGTTTTAAAACAGACACAGAACAGCAAAGTACTACATCACATATTGTTACAAATTAATTCTCATAAGTCAGCAGTTCCAGTTCAAAGCTGAACAAAAGAAAAGCACTCAAACAGGAATTTCCTGCCATAAAAGAAGACCAACATCTTTTCAGTAGGCACCTCTGTATTTCAGGACAAAGTCTTTTGAATGCCTTTTTAAAATCAAAAAATATTTTTCCACTGTCTTCAGTGTAAATGACCCTCTATGAATATTATTTTAAATCAGTTGCCATGGAATTGAATATAATGCCAAGTGTTAAAGGCTTTGACTTGTGGTATATCATTAAGCCAGAAACCAAAATAATTAAAAGAAAAACTGATGAAGAACACTTCAAACCCAATAAATGTTATTTCAGGTCTCAGATATTCAGTAACATTTCCTGAGCAACACCCACTAGGAAATCTAAAGACATGAACAACCCAGCATGTTTTCCCATAACATTTGCAACGTCTTTTGTTCACAGTCAATTTTCTGCTTATTGCCATTTGTTTGAAAGCCATTTAGAAAACACTATGGCAAGGGAAAAATAAGGCTCCTATCCTTCTGCACTCCTATCCTCCTGCACTGGCACATAGAACAGAACTGTTTTAGTGCTATATCCATGCCTACCAACTCTTTCTCAAGATTTTATAAAAAAGGTCTTTTCATATTGTAACTTAAAAGCTAAACAATCAGGAAGTTCCAAGCTGTCAAGAGCATTAAAGTCTCTTGCTTTATCAGGTTAAATACCATCCCTAGTTGATAAGCCTCTCTCCAAAGAAAAAGTACCCAAGGTAAGATAATACACTTCACAGTTTCCAGATCAGTACCTCAAAGAGGGGTGATTCTTCAGTTCATTCCAGGTTTCTTTAGCATACAAATAGAGATTATTGGCTTCTTCCCAGTTCCCATTTACCATTGCAGTGGCTATATCATTTGACAGATGAACAGCAGTTGCATACCTGTGGGTAAAAATCCACAACTTTATTACACTTGCAAAGCATCTACAGTTGAAAGAAATAAATTCTTTCCCTTACAGTCTCTAAAGACATTGAACCATGCAGCCATCTTTATTCTTAATCTTGTAGGGTTAGCAGAGTTTAAACTAGCAGGGAACATTATGTTTAAATTTATTTAACACTAGAGAATATATTTTTTTAGCTCAGAATCAGCACAGCAAATGAAGAAACAGCTTCCATCACATGATCATGAAGCAAATAAATACGCTATTTTGCTCCAAAATGCATGCCACTGTGAATTACAAGTCCTACCTCAATACAAAAATGTACTTAAAATAATTGCAAAATTAACACATCTACATATTTACATCTGGAGTTCTACATTTGAATTCTTATTTGCCTGCACAAGTGCTACAGTAAAGCTCTTTTAGAAACAAACAGAATTCCAAGCTGCCAAATCCATCCCTACCTGATGAGATCCTCTCTGTCCTGGAAGACCTGTGTTTTCCTGTTTACTGTGTAAGTGGGGAACACCATGTGCCCCATGTTTGCCCTGAGGACGGTGGCGAGCAGGCCCTGCCCAGCACTGCCAGCCTCCTCCTCCTCCAGCGACTCGGGCAGCGCAAACAGCAGCAGCACTCGGGAGAACACAGCCCGCGCATCCCTGCACACCCGGACACACCTTCCAGCCAGCTCCTTCACCCTGCAAGGACAAATCAAAGTACTCTAACATGCTTTTTACCATGACTTTTAAAAAATAACATACTGAATGAAACATGAGAAATTGTTTTTTCAAGCCAATTAATGCATAAACTTGATTTCCCTTGAAAGAAGCAGAGAGATTATGCAGTTTAGTATTTACCCTTCTCTTTGACTCATTGTGAATTGAAATATAATACCACTCTTTTTATTAATAAATAAATGCATTCCTCTCTTGAAAAGGCATCTAGATTTCAGTCATCTGAAGCACAACTTCCATTCACCTGCAAAATTTAGCTGTAAACATTTACCTTTTTAAAATCACTGTCCCAATACCAGCCTGACTCCTGCTGAAGATGGAACGCTGCTTTGACAGCTTCAGAAAATCATCCACGAGTTGCTGTTTCTGACCATTTGGGTTTGGCAAGTGAAAGATTTTTGCCAGTGTTTTTAGCTCAGGGGCTGAAAGCAAATCCAACCCTTCACACAGGTCTTCCAATTCAGATTCTAAAAGTAAAATTATCCACATATATTCATTGTGTTATATTATTGTGTCAAGCAACAGCTCACAGTACATTCATACAACCTAGTACCAATCTAATGATTTAGGTTTGATGCCCCAAAGTTAGGCTGGAAATAAAACCCCATAGACTGGTGTCCATACAGCAGGTATTTATTTATTGCAGCACTGCAGGTGAGGGGGATTTCTCCACCTAACTCACCCACCTGTGCCAGGTGCTGTGGTATATTTATACAGTACGTACTGCCTGATGTTACTCTGTCACTATAACATCGTCACACAGGTGCCAAAATCAATTTACATGGTATGATCTGAGTGTTATTAGACAGCTCTTTTGCACTGTGTTTGCACCTCCCTAATTCAGGGCTCATCAGGGGTCTTTAATAAAGGCTTCTGAAGTCTTCCTTGCATCTGAAATTTTCAACATTGCTTTTGAAGCAGGCACAGTTACTGTGTTCCTTGGTCTGTCTGGTCCTAACCTGCCTAAATTTGTTATTTTGTGGCTAATTGACTTTACATTTGCCAATTTCTCAATAGTACTATGTTTATCTATCTCTAAAGCTATCAATATGGTGAGGTTTTTTTCTTCTTTTTTGTCTGTTCAGCATTAACCAACTAGTTAACCATATACTACATTACATTGTATAAAAGTTATTTATATCAGGTATAAAAGTTATGATTCAGATTGTACAGGTATAAAAAGCTGTGATTCAGGTTATACAGGTATAAAAGTTATGATTCAGGTTATACTGACATCAGGTTATATAGATATATCAGGTTATATTGATATCTTACAACTCAAGCTATATTAGCACCTTGTAACTTTGACCTAAGCTATACAGGCACCAGGTTCTACAAAAATGCATTAACAATGCTATCTGGTTCACCCTGAAATTCTTCTGCACCTTCTTCTGGACCTTTACACAGGTCTACTTTGAAGGAAAGGAAAAACCAGAAAAAGAACACCCTTCACAACTTCAAAACAACTGCAAAGATTAAAAAATTCTGTTCAGTTATAAAAAACCACTGTTCAGAAAAGCTGGTCTTCTCCATTATCTAATCTGCACAATTTGTATTTTCACAAGACCACTCATCCACCTGAAGCCTTTATTCTGCTCCTCTGTTCTCTCCCCAAGGCACAGACAAGCATGCACTGCATTGATCTCTAACCTGACACAACTTCACATTTTATTTGCAGTATTTAAAGGTTTACTACTGCTGGCCTTACCTGTTTGTAGGAATCTGGCTTCAGCCAGTTCTTCAATTATTGGTGACAAATCCACACTTATCTCCCCATACTCTATTTTGTTCACCTTTAACCAGTTCAGCTTGCGTTGAAAAAGTCTCACATACAACTTCTGCCCACCAACTGCAAATGTTATTTAAAGCAGGGAAGGACAAAAAGAAGAGTCAATTCTAAACACAGTACTAGGCACAATCACCACATTAACCTGAAAAACCACTCTGATGCAGGTACTCTCTAAAATACATTTTAAATCTCCCTGTGTTCTACAAGCAGACTTGGTAAAATACCAGACTTACCGTTCCAGGTAATTCATAAGTTCATTAAAATTTTTAAGTCTTGTGGGTAGAAAAGTATTACAACATGTTTTGTAGCTAATGGACATTACTAAAATGCCTTTTGACATGCTTACCCTTCAAGAAATATTTAGTTTTATAGAAAAAGAGAACTTCATTTTTCAGCCCTGCATTTTGTGTTGGTTAAGCAGGTCTTTTTGCTTTGTTAAAGAGTCACTCAATAACCAAATATTTCATGCTAGAGAACAAAAGAAGCTGCAGTCTGACAGAATAATTTCATAATCACAGAATATTTCTCTGTGCAGCATTCTTCAGGTCCTTATTTTTCCAAAGATAAGTCAAATTATACTAATACATCTACTGAAAGGAAGCAATGAGAAAAAAACTCCTATTCATTTGATTTTTATCAGGGATGTATTCTTTTAAAGTACCTTTTAGAAAGACTTTTTAAATACTAACAATGCTGAAATTCAACAAAATAGCTTATTAAATTTTAACTGAAAATAGTCTAGCTATTATTACTACATTCAACAACCTTTTGACTACTTAATTCAACCCCCATTAACTTCTAATTTTTTACCCCTGTCTGTTGCTGCTTAACTGAAACTGATCATAAATAAAAAACCACTGAAACACTAAAAGATCTAGATGTGCTTAAGAACTGGCAGATAAACATTAAATGTTTATTTAATAATTCTCCTGTCCTTACAAGACTTTTTCAGCCTCTTCTTTAATAGAATGTTTCCAGGATCAGTTCACTGGGAGAACTACATTCACACATGCAAGCTTGTCATTTTCTCTGTGGGGTTTAACTCCTTTAAAGTCTGTCCCCAGTTTTTATCATTCCAGAGAAAGGAAAAAGGTAAATACACTGACATTCCTTCTCCAGGCCATGGAACTGAACAAACTAGGGCTGCAATAATAATTTCATAATAAGCTTCATAAACTTACACTGAGTCAGAGACAAGTCACTGAAGAATGGTAGACATTTCTGCAGAAAATAATTAAATACTGGAAAATATTTATATTCAAGCAACTTCATCGCACCAAACCGGTGTGTGTTTGGCTTTTTGTGTTATGACAACAGAAATGGGTAGACACTTCTCATGTGGGACAGATAACTCATCTACCTGAACTTTCAAAGTATCCTGCCTGGTATTTCTTGAAGGCAATGACATCCATCTGCCAGTTGTCCAGGATTTGTTATCTATTGACTCAGTGCTATCCTCTCACTTCTCACAGCTCAACTGCTGCATCTCTCCTACCCTGCAAAGAGAGATTGTTTCATCCAGTGCAGACATGGATTTATCAGCACCACTTTGCAGTAATTCTTCCTGTACTCCCAACTCACAGTGCTGAAAGAGAAACAAGAAGCTCTCTTATCTATCAGAACAAGGTCCTGTTACTGACCAGTGTTCCCATCCAGGGAACAGAGTGGGGAAATGGGGAAGGTGCATCCTGAACATCTCTTTCAGTGTTTGTCAAAGTAGCCAATGCCAGCATGCATTACTGGCCTAACAGTGAGTTTATTCCTGGATCTTTGGATGCAAATGATGTGCACCTACTGCTTGCTTCAGAGAGCCAGTAATAAGACTTTTGTTGCTTACGTTCTTTACATATTCCCCTTTAACCGCCACAAGATAAACAAGGCATCACCAAGCTCCAAGCTGTCCCTGCTGTAATATTCTCATGGTCTGGAGTGCTCTGCAGACCCCCCTGCTTTGGCTGCTTGTGCCCATGGCCAGCTCAGACCCAACAGGATGCAAGCCAGGCTGCTGGGAGGGCTGAGGGAGGCTGTGTCCCCACATTCCCTCAGGAACTGCACCTAACTACATTAGCAGAGTTTATTTTAAAAAAGGGGTACATCTCCTGAGAAGAAGCAGCTTCTTCCCTTAAAAAGTAGATCAAGTTACATGGCTAATTGATTTAGCACTTCTGACATAAAACTCTGCAAGAATGTTCCACTACAAGAGTGAATGTGGAAATGTATTTAAAATAAAAAGATACCTGATAATTTGTAGAACTTGGTTATAATGTTCAAATCTTGTTCATTAAAAAGTCTGACATCATCTTCATTCTGCAATACCGCTCGCAGCACTACTAGAAAATTCTGGAGGTAGTAGGGGTGACCAGGAGAGCTGGGCACAGAGAGGACCTCATCTATTTTATCTAGAATGTCCCCAGTGGAATCCTGAGATTCTGACTTTTCCACAGTTTCTAACAGAGGATGGTTCATGTCATTCTCAAAGTCTTCAAGAACTTCCACAGGAAGTACCTCTGCATCATCCCTGCCAAAGCAATTTTCTGTCCCACTGTCCACTTCTGTCTTTGAAGGAGTAACCTCAGTGTGAGGCTGAGTCTCAATGTCCAAATTACTGGTCAGCTCTGCTGAAGTGTGGATGGCCAGAGATGTTTCACATCTATCAGGACTAAGTATCCCACCTTCAGAGCTGCTTTCTGCTTTGGTGCTCCTTGTACCAGATGGGAACCTTTTGTCCTTACTGTTATCAGCCAGTAATTGTACTTGAACCATATCCACAAGGTCTTCTTGATTACATTTGTTTATTTCATTTTGAAATTCGGGTTCCCTCTTTGAAAAATGTTGTTCCTGGTGCTCTCTCTGAGAAGGCTGATTTTCTTTCTGAGAACTCTGCCCAGCATCAGTCTCATCCCCATCATCATCATCAGGGGCTGCAGCAGCTCCACAGGCACTGAGAACAGCTGGAGGTGAAGAGTTGATCTCCTCATACAGGACCTGCTTTCCTCCCTGCAGGCAGCGTCTCCTGGACAGTTTGGCAGACAAGCTTCCCAAGGAGACTGTTCTAACTGTTCTGGCCTGGGATTCACTGTTCACACTCAACACTGAACTATTATTGCTGAAATAAGGACTAGTCTGTTGGGCTGCACTCCCTCCTCCTTTCAATAAATTACTTTTGGAAGGACTTGCTTCTAGATTTAAGATGTTTTTTGAAAAATATGAGCTGGAATTATTGCTCAGATTTGCAGCTGGGGGACTCTTATTCCTAAAAGAAGTCAGTGTAGTATCAATGGCACCAACCTCACCACGGTTTCTCTGACATGTTTCATCAATGTGCTTATTTATTCCATATCTTGGCACCAATTGCCCACACATGGGACAGCTAACTTTGGCAGGGGGAACATTGTTAAAAAAGGAAGTAATAGAGGATGATGCTGAAGGTGTAGATGGCGTTCCTGTAACTTCCACTTTTTTTGTTGTTTCCTTTTTCTTCTTACTTTTACTGAGTGACAAACTTGTTTGGGATCTTTTGATTCCTGAAGATCTAGCTTCTGCCATTACAAAACTTCACAGCGATTACATGGCCCAGACAACTCCATTCAGGCCACATGTCTTTATTCTGCAATACTTAAAAGACTTTCCTCGGCTTTTCCTTTTCCATCTGTAATCTTCTGACATGCCTTGAAATAAAAAATACATTGAATGAGTGGTCTTCCAAGGTACCAGATGCAACCAAGATAACCAGAAGAGAGGCAGAGAAGTCAAGCAATCTTTTAACTTACAATGCTACTGTCCTTTAACTTGTCTTACCACACAGGGAAGCACACCACAGGCAAGCCGAGCACTGCAGCCGCCTTTAAGTGGCTTAAAAAATGGAAAAGTAATCTCAAGCTTGCATTTACATCAGCAAGTGAACCTGGAATTCAAATAGGCAAGTCCTGTAATTTTTACAGAATAGTCAGGGTTGAAAGGCACCCCTGGAGACCATCCAGCCCAACCCCCCTGCCCAGGCAGGGTCACCTGGAGCAGGTGACACAGGAAACATCCAGGTGGCTTTCCAATGTCTCCGGAGAGGGAGACTCCATTGACCACCCCAGGCAGCCCTCCCAGTGCTCCGCCACCCTCAGTGAGCAGCTCCTCCTCATGCTGAGGTGAAACTCGTTGCGTTTTAGTTTATGGCCATTGGTCCTCGCCCTGTCGCTGGGAACATTTTATCACACTCTTGTTTGCTGCTGACAGGCTATTTTCGGTGCCAAGCACTCTCCGGGCTGCCTGCAGCCCTCACTCTCACGGCTGCCGCACCGGTGGGCCCGGGCCGAGCTCTGCCAGGGCGGGAGCCCAGGGGCAGCCGGCTCTCTGGAGCCGCTCTCCAGGTGCTGCGGATGGCGGGGCCCGGGCTCCCGAGCGGCTCCCGGGGCAGCCATTCTGGCATGCCCGCCCCTCGCCGGCCCTTCCCGCGCTGGGACCCCCTCAGCCGCCCGTGCCCCGGGTAAAGTGCCCAGCCGGAGCCCCCCCAGCCCGCCCGGCCTCCCGCCCTTCCCCACGCACCGGCACCGCAGCCGCGCGTGTTCCGCCGCTCCCGGGGCCGTGCGGGGCCAGGCCGCGCCCCGAGGGCCGGGCCGGGCCCGCTCCGCCCGCCGCCAGGCCTGAGCAATGCAGCGCCGATGGCGGGCACCGCGCTCCCTCACACAGCGGGGCTGCTGCAAACACCCGCCGCAGATTCAAAACTTCCTTTTACGACAACGCGTGGAAAACAGCTGAGGGCCGCAGGAGCAGCAACTAGAGGTTTATTTTGTTGGTGGTGAGTTTTGTTTGTTTGTTTGTTTGTTTTGTTGTTCAGCAAAGGGCAAATAGTGAAACATTTTCACCCTGTGGCTAATTGTTCGTGTAGACTCTGACACGGTGCTGGTATGGGAGATTATTCCTCTGAGGGCTAAAAATACACATGAAGAGAAGGGACCTCATCCCTGCCTGTCAGTGTAGGCAGGGAGGTGCTGAGGAGGGACCAGGCCTGGCTCAGTTCTGCCCAGCAATGGGACAGGTAAAGGGCAGAAACTGAGACACACAGGTTCCACCTGAGCGTGAGGAGCAACTTCTTTATACTGTGCAGGTGACTGAGCTGGGTCAGGCTGCCCAGAGAGCTCGGAGTGTGTGGAGTCTCTCACTGGAGCTATTCCACAACAATCCTGACAGCCCTGTGCTCTGGGATGACCCTGCTGGAGCAGGGAGGTTGGACCAGATGACCCCAGAGGTCCCTTCCAACCCAAACCATTCTTGGACTCAGTCTAAGTTAAAAATTGCCTAGCTCTGGGTTACCAAAGGCTTAAAAATCTTTTGTGTCCTCCCTTTTTGCCAATCACAATTTCAGAATTTCTGTAATTTAAATGCCTGGATAGATCCTGAGTCCTTCAATAAATGCAGTTCCTCCTGCTATAGATCCAGAGCTATTAAAACAGCGGATACAAAGCTCTGGGCTATAGATTAAAGAGACTGTACAGTAACAGCACATGTCAAGTATTTTACACTATTACATATCTGCCCACACCAAGAGTCTTTCTTTTTGGAATAAATCAGAGTTCTGTGGTAGAAAACAAGAGTAAAATCTACAGAAAACTGTCTGAACATCACCTTAGAAGTTAAAAAAGTATGTTAAAGATCAACACAGAGTAAAACCTACTCAAATTCAGAAAAAAAATTTAATATATACAAGATGTATATATGTATGTACCTGTATAAAAAAGGTAAATTACAACTTTAGTTTATGAACAGAGATTGCTTTCTCCTTCTTCTGTTTCTTTTTTAATTTGCTGGCATCTTTGATTTGCATTCTCACTTGATCTTGCAGCTGAGAAAAGAAGGCCTGGGATGATTTCAAGGCCTTGTCTTTACCTTCATCCTGTCATGGGACAAAACATTTGTTATAACCAAGAAATGTACAAACAGTACCATTATATTACTTACTAGTTACTCAAGCATAATGGTATTTAACTTAAAAAGATCTGGTAACTGATATTCAAAGGATATTGTTCACCACATTTTTAGTCCACTCCTGCTATCCAAAGAAATAAAGATTACATTCTCTTCCTATGTAGCAATTAGCCTGACAGGTAAGAGCAGGCATCAAGAACAGATCCTTGCACATCATGAACTACAACAGGGTATCTGTATTTTGTGTTCTACTTGCCTTCTGAAAAGGTAAGTACAAACATCTGGAATAATGAAGTTATTTTTCCTATTAGTTATTTTTCCTATTAGTTTCTAATACTTCAAAATTTCAGATTTTTTGAATTTTATTTAAAAGGCACCTTAAGTGGTGCACGAGTTTACTGTTTTATAGCATGCAAAATAATTTCAATCTGATGAGATTATAGGGAAGACTCCACAATAAGGACAAAGTTAAACAGAAAAGTTAAACTGTATTACAAAACAGTTTAAATTACCCAAAGCTTATACAGAACACAGAAACCTCAATGTGCATTCAAGCAGTCCCACTTGATGAAGTGGAATGGCTTAAATGCAGGAAATAAAGAAAATATATTTGCAGGAACATCACTTTATGAACTTCCAAATAAATAGAAAAAAAATACCTCACACAAAATCATTTCTGCCTGATGAACATCCTTTCATATATATTAATTGTATCATACAGCTTTTTCACATTTTTCCAACCTCATACCTGTAATTCTTTGGGATAGAGTTTCCTTTCCTCTCTAGAGAAAAATTACCTGTCCTTGGGATTTTAGTCTTACCTTGAGCAGAGATGCCTTGCCTTCTTTGGCAAGCCTTTTTAATTTTGCTGCAGCAGCTTTCTTGCTGAGTTTTGTGCCTTGTTCTGGTTTCATCTTTTCCAGAAGCTTCTGACGTTTCTCCCTTTCCCTTCGCTTCATACGTTTGCGGAGCTTTTTCCTTCTCAGTTCTCGTTTTTTGTCTGTGGAAGTCTTTTCTGCATCAGTTTTTACATCACCAGCTTTGTTCTTTTCCTAAATAAATCCATAACAGTGCAAAAAACAAGACTCACTTCACAGAACTCACAGAGCGTTTCCAATATTTCAGGTGAGAGCTCAGGACAAGGCAAAGGCCAAAACCTGACAAAAGCTGGGAAATGAGATTTGTACAACTGATCCAGGACATGCTAATTGCTCTGCTCTAGTGCTGTTTAGTTTTCCCCCTCTCAATACCCAAATAAATATTGGGAAAACAATGACCATCATATAACAGTTAAGATCAAAAACAAAGTATAGTATTATGGCCTACTGGTGCCAAATAAAATTTACTACTTCCCCAGACAGAAAAAAACACCAAAACTAAAAATCCCCAAAACAAACAACTAAAAAAGCACTCAAACAAACAAACAAAAAGCCACCTCAGCCCTCAAAACCTCCCAACAACCATCAATGCTAAAATTCTAGGCCAAAAAAGTCCACAAGGTGAGGAAGTACCCACCAGGATGGGAAGGGCAGAATTCCAGTGCTCTGACAGACAGTACATCCTTCTGTAATCCCCTAATGCCATTTCATATTTACCTTGATCTCCTCTGGTGCTAAGAGAGCAGCATCACTAACAGCAACTGGTGCTACTTCTTCCATACTTATAGCTGGAAGGTTGGACACGATTTTAACTTCTGGCACCGGCTGGAAATAAAGAGACACATTCAGGACTGAGCACAGCACCTCAGCAGCTGCCAGACAGCTGAAGAAAACTACTAGTTGGGTTTGTTTAGAGGCAATCACAGTACGTTTAATATGAAATAAGAATGAGCTCAGGAAACACCAGTGTTTACTCTGCTTTCCATTTATGGAATGTATTTTAAAGTATCCAGTTAAAAAAAAAAGGGAGAAAGCCCCCAACTTAATGAAACTTATGCACTTACTGGTTTGGGTGTGAAGTGGAAATTACAAAGTGCATCCAGCTTCTGGAAGAGTGAATCCATCATTTCCTGAATTTCTTTGTGTTCAGGATTTTCTTCCTCTTCAGTCTTTTGCTGCATTAAAAATGCAATGTAACTGTAACACCATTCATAAGGCTACTTTACTTTAGCAAGACTGGTAACAACACAACTTACAGCTCAGAGCCCTTTCTCTGGTGAATATTCAGAGAAAGACTAAATTACTTCCACTTGGAAATGTATAAATGAACACACAAGAGTAGAGTGTGAACTTCAAACCCAAAGGAAAGGCATGGTTTGTGTTACCTGGTGAAGTTTCATGTATTCTTGCTCGTAGATTTCAGCCAGACTCAGTTTACTCTTTTCATGATCCAAACTGATCCGCTTCTTGTACTCAAAAGCTTCCTCTTTGGGTTTCTCTTTTGGTACTACATCATCCCATGCCTGAGAAAGTCATAAAGTAAGGACCAAGTGCAACTACAGCCAAGTACCAGCTACATCTTACTTAGAATATTTTTCAGTTATTTATCTGGCACATGAACTAGTTTATGCATGTAGCATCCCTAGGACTCATCAAGTTTCACATTTTAATTTAAAAAAAAAAGTAATAAATGTTATAGCTCTGCTTGTGTCCTTGGTTTTATGAATAAAGGCAACAACTATAATAAGTTACAAACTCTTCCTCACCTTTTTAAATTCAACAGTAGGGCTGTTTAAATGAACAGTAAGGCTCAACAAGTTGTGAGATACAAATTTTCTGTCAGTGGCTTTGAAGCAAAATGAAGCAAACAACTGAGTTTTGGTCAGTGTCAGAATGCTCAGAGCAGCAGTTATGGTAACAGCCAACAGTTACAGGCTGGCTTTATATTCCACATAAACTCCTTGCAGTTTTATCTGCACACAGTCTGCTTTGAAATGCACTAAAACACTGAAATCCCTGGTATATAACAGGGATATAAAAACAGGGCTCCTTAGAAATCTAAAAACACATTCATCAAGACAAAAGAATAAAACAACTAGTTGCAGAAATTAAGATAATTCTACACCCAACATTGGAAATGCTTCCAATTCATCCTTGGAATGTGCCCTGTGACTCAAGTCTATGAACAATGTAAGGAGGAACAGGTAAGACAATATTAACCTCATCCAATATTCTCTGCTTAATGAGATCTTCAAGCTGAAAAGTCGTTTCTTCTGTGATCACAGGTGCTGAAAGGAAAAGGCAAAGAATTTTAAGATTATTGTTTCTCCAGCAAGAAATAGGTCTTGTTCTGTAAAGAATAAACTGCAGAAAAAGAAAGCAAAGCTTTCACAAAAATGTGACAATTGAAGGTGGAGTAAGTAAATATAAAAGTAAGTCCTATTATGTGAGGCTGATAAAATTTACAATTTCCTGTAGTTTGCACTGTGAAAATGCAGTGTGAAGCAACCTCAAAATCACATCAAGAGGTTTAACCTGGTGTCCTCTTGAGTCCCAGGTGTTTTCAGCAAGCTCAAAGGGCAGAACACCCAGCAAAGCCCAGTCCCTCCTTACCCATTCTCACTGCGTGGTCAAAGAGCACTGTTTCTTCCAAAAGGCTGTTCTCAGGGCGCTTCTGCCCAGTCACTTCTCCTTTCAGCTGCCAAGGCTTCTCCTCTAACAGTGCTTCTTCCAAGCTTTTTATTTTTTTGCTCATCTGAAAAACACAATTTCCTAGGAAGTTTAAAACACAGCTCACTTGTAATCTCACAGCA